AGATAACGTCAGAGCACATTCTCACCGTCACTTTGTCCTACGGAAAAGACCGTTTCTAGCGCGATGTCGGCTCACTCGGTTGGCGGTAGCCATAGGATAAAGGTCAGCAAGTCCTCTTGAAACGCTCACAATCCCTACTCCAGGGAGCACTCGCAACAGTTGTCATATTTTTTGGCCATTCCGACCTTCTGCACGAAGTAAACGTTTGTTCGAATATAGCCCAAATAAATGGCCCAGGATAGATCTCATGTGTTCTTATTCGCGCCCACTCACGTCGTCTTACGTCGACAAAACACAAACACCCCTAACTTAACCATTCCCATTCCCGCCGTCCCCAGAACTATGTTATAAGTGTTTCCCTTGTTTTCCATGTCCAGACACCCGTCAACCTTCTTTTCTGGTCCTGATCACTGGTTGCGTGCCCCCCCCCTCAGTTTTACTACCGTACCGGCTGTATGGTGCAGGCTGGGCGGTAAATAATGGAAACCTTGTGTTTGTCTGCTGGACCTGCTGACGTCAGCGTCATCGTCAAATTTAGACTAAAACTCCTTTTACCGACTCCATCTCCAGATGGTTAACCATCTGTGCACATATTTATTTATTCACCTAACCCCCGTGTGGTATGTGTGCTACACCGCTCGACGGTTTCAACGCTTGTGCGAGACAATCAAGGAAATCCTACCCGACTCGCTTAGGCCGATAGTAGTTCCAGTTAAGGTCTTTCAGAGAAATTGATCCCACTCCAAAACCTCATGCAAACGACATATATCAAGGGTGCCAGGGGTAGCCGAAACGGAAGGACGTCTACTATGAAAGTCAGTCATCTGTGCGTTTCAGAACTACGGCATCGTTAAATAAGACACAATGCACTTGTCTCCTGCCCACGTGGCTTGACGTTTAAGATGAAAGTCCGTCAAGGGCTCTGTCATTAATCCCCCTCCTTCCAGCCATGTCAACTATTAATATTGAGTCTAATTGATTATCCAAATAACAAGAGAGCCAATCGAATTGAAAGAAGAGTGAAAGTCATCGGGCCCCATAATTCAAGATCTAGATGAGAGCTCGTGGCCGTTTGAAGCATCGATAAAAGCGTACCCTGGAGCCAGGCTTGATCTCGAAATCAACCTCAGAGCATTAAATCAGTAAGACGGGGATCCAGTTGTTAGGTTGTCGTCTATTGGCAGTTTATTCCACCGCACTGTGATCTATTTCCGCTACTCTGGGCAGGAAGCAAATATAATTTCACTCACATCAAATCGGAGACTTCAAAAAGTTCCGAAAGGCGCCTTGAGACGGTAGTAAAATCGCTAAAATAAAATGCCTTCGTCGTCCACAGGGTTTTGTGACTGAGCTAGCAAAAGCATAGTTTGACGTTGGGGGGGGAGGGGTGCGATTCGGTTGTTAAAGTGGAATCTGCATCATCCGTTTTATCAAGTTAAAAATTGGCTGCTAACAGCAGGGCTCCTCATCCTGAGTTGTCAAAAGCTGAACCAGAAGTGAAAAATGGCACCGATTGAAAAGGGTAATAAGCTTACATGCCGATATTTTCAGCGTTTAACATCCACCAAACCGTCCTTTTAGCCTTTCGCCACCCTCCACTGACAGGGCACATAAAATTCTTCAGATAATCAGACTTTTGGTCGAAATAACTACCCAATTAACAACTGGTTTCGAAAAATTATAGAGGGATGGTCGCTTCGTATGCCACTCTATGGCTCTGGTTTGTTGAAAGTACTAAGATAAAAATAGAAAATTAGGGAGTTGACTTTTGTGACGCGCCTATGGAAAGCTACGGGAGAGCATAAAGAACTTTGCGTATGTCTGTAGTGAGTGGAGATCACGAAAATCAAAAAGCAAAAACAGGAGAAGGGTACTCAATTGATCTATGATACTAAACTCGGTCTTCCGATAGCAGCGAAAGGGTATTTCGCGCTGATCGATGATTTACCTACGGAATCACTGAGGTAGATCATTCTACGAACAAGAATAACTGCACTCCAGGTAACAGCTGACATGTAGAAGAGAGTGTCCTTTATGAACGGGCGCCGGGTAGTTTTAAAGGGTCGAATGATCATTATCAGACCAGCAGTGATCGTGTTTACCAGGAGACCGGATCCTGAGAAAAGACAAAAATACGTAGGATGATTTGACTGACTGGTGGAATACAAAAAACATAGTAAATTCAGGAATAAAAGGTCATTTGGACAGGTTTAAAGACAAAAGATCAATCAACAAGGTCCAGTCGACGTGAAATTTGAAGTATGAGTAATTCTACATACGGGATCCTTTTCCGTCCGCTACAATAATACGAGGGCTGAACTGCAGGCTGACGAGTCCCTATTTTTCACAGAGAATGATGACAATTTTTATTCTCGCAAAATAAGACGTGGCTGGCCACGGGATATTACTGAAAATATCAAACGAACTAGATTGAAATGTCTTGGGCATTTGACTCCAAATTCGCATGCTGATTTCAGCCGAATCTATATCAGTAAGAGGGCATCCACAAATGTT